TAACGATGCAACTCACCCCTTTATTTATGTCGATCACCCCCGATTCCAAACTTTTGTCCAGTGAGTGTACATGTACATATATTACTGAATGCAGAAAATCATCGTCCCTGAATAAGAGTATACAGTATGTAAAACAAATTGATATCGATATCGATATCGATATGGTGTGAATGTTTCTTTATTAGGAATACAGCATGATCTCATGAACATTTTCACAAGTGTTCAGAAAATCTCACATGAACGTGAAAGAGTACGTACGTGCTTATCGTTTTTACATACTTGAAAGTATATACCGTATCAACACTTTTGATTAAAGTTCGGAATCTCTGGCAAGTTGAAACTTGTCCGATTTTAAATGGCATTTACTCACCTTTTTCATCAGGTTTTATATAGTGAAAATTTTTTTGCTCAATGCAATCTACATGTGCATGTATTATTTTCGTAAAATACATGTACATGTACCTGCAAAGTGCGTTTTTACAGGTTTCTTAGACGTATGACCTTGTTTGTTTTTACCATTTTTTATAGGAAATTCGAAATTCGAAATTCGAAATTCGAAAATTTATGTAAAAGTGAAAAGATAATAATGAAATAAAAAAAGCAACTAAAATTAATTAGTTGGCTAAACTTCTTTTAGAATGTCATTGTTCAATCCTGATTAAATACAGTAAATAAATTTTTAATAATTGCAACGCCAATAGAGAATAATAAAATAAATAGTGATTTCGCACAAACTTACAAATATTGATTAATGAAACACATCATCGCTACGAGATATATGTCATATTTCATCATGGACGGTTGTTTGCATGTTATATAAATAATCAATCAAACATGTACATGTATACAGAAAAGAAACTTCAAACTAACTTCAAACTCATTCGTAACTAACTTTTAATTTGCTCTTACATGACATGTGATGAGCAATATTCCGAGTTAAAAATATCCCAAACAACGACTACGGTACGGGAATGTTGCTTTTTATGTTCATAATATTGCACAATACCTCAAATTGGTTACATGAGCCGGTGCAAAGTAATTTTTCCACAAACACGCCCCCCATATCAATTACATGTTGTTATCAAAAAGTTAATGTTGAACATTAAACCGGGGAAATTATTAATTTTACTCTTTCCTTATTTAGGAATTTAAAATGATAGATAACCGGTTTTATCGTGTCCGAAAGAAGAAAATATCGGGGGCTATTCAAAAAGCTTGTCTCTGTTTTTATGTAATGTTATACACCACTTACATCTTTCCCAGCGACACAAAACACCGATACAGATAAGCACGAATTCAAAGACACGTATACTTGCATTTCTACATAGATTTGTTTATTTATTTATTTAAATATCTAATCGAACTAGAACTTTATACCAGTAAAAACAACAAGGTAAGCTTATTTATATTATAAATTTTTGTGACATCATTGTTATTACGAGCAAATTCGAAGAATAATAGTTAGCATAATTAATATTGTATTTGTCATGGTTGTTATCATTAATATCATTAATTATACTTTGTTGAAAAATTTTTTCTTTTGTTTTCAGACTAAAATTCTTTGACCAAATTGCTGTTGATAGAATAGCCTGTTTAAAAAAATAAAAAAACGAAGAGTCTCCGCGAACAACATGGAAATAGAATCCATTAATCCAGCACAAACATCATCTTCCGATAAAACCATCTCACTACGAAATTCATACAATCCAGTGCCATCCTCAATATACACAAAACTGCACAAAAATCTCACATTTTCATATGCAAACAGTAACGCGAAATCATTTCAATTTGGGACACTTGGAGAGAATGATACTTATTTGATTGGAATTCTACGCTTGGACTATTCACAGCCAAGACAGATACGAAATGTTATACTGCAACTCAAGGGTATCGAGAAAACTTGCTGGTTTAAGCCGCAGGCACGATCAAAATCGTTTCACAATGCTGAACAAATATTAATTGACAAAGCTTTTCGGATATTCTCAGCGAACGACGAACAAGAAATTCAATCTTGTAATATACCATTCAAAGTGAAATTGCCTTATAATCTTCCGGAATCAATTACTACTGACATTGGGAGTGTAAAGTATTTCTTGCGTGCTACCGTGAATAGAAGAGGAGTTATCGGTAACGCTAATGTTGTAGAAGTTGAATGTGAATTAAGGAAAACTACAATGCTAGACATTGAACGTAATCAACCATATCAATTACGAGGTGAATCTCGTAGTGGTATAGAATACGCGTTTGTTTTGCCACCGTTCAAAAATTTTAATATTGGATCATTCGTTTCGATCCCGATGCGACTTCGTTTTCTTCGACCCAATCTTCATGTAGAGCAAGTTCGAGTTTCTTTGGTTAAATTCATGGACTATAGATGTACTAATCCAAATGAGTCACGTCACATAAAACAAGAAGTCACCTCGTTGACTATAACACGACAAGAACTTCAATATACCCAATCAACGCCTTCAGATCTTGAATGTGTGCACAAGATAAATTTATTCATTCCTCAAACTTTATTGCCAACAATATCCACAAGATACATATCAATTTCGTATCAACTGTCGATAAAGTTGTGCTTAGTTGGTAGTGACATGGATTTTCAAATTGATGAATTTGTTCACCTTGGATCCGTAATAGAGGTCAATAATCAATCAACCTCTAAATTACAAGAACTTTTTTTGTCACGTCAAGTGTTTGACACGACTCTTTCACGAATACAAAATCAAACATCGATCTCTACTTTTGGTTCTATTTCGATGACATCCAATGATGGGTGGGTAAGATTATTATTTATTGTAAAAGCATATACAGTATATTAATTACATAATTACATTTTCTAGCATAAATGAACCAATGACACCATCAAATGAGTTTTTCCCACAATCCGCTCCTAATAATCAGCAGTTAACCAACAAAGAACTAAGACGAGCTTCAAATAATGAAAATTTTTCATCCTCACCTTACCCGACTGCACTTTCACCGCCACCTTACCATAAACCAAAATCACTTTCTGCATTTCATTTGGTAGAAAAATCAGTATATTTTAATAAAAATTGGTGAAATATAGAATTTTATATGGGTGCATAACGATAATATTCCAAGACTACGAGAACTACGTGCCGAAGTTTTGCGAAAAGGAAAGATGTCGTAAAAATTGGGGTTTCATGCGTGTACATGCGTACACATGTACAGTACCTCACTCAAAAACAACGACAAATGAGATGTTGCATAGTACATGTATATACATGTAGTAGCTGAATTTTTAATCATATGAATTGTTTAAATATTGTTTGTTTCTAAAAGTTATCGTTATTGTTTGTTTTCGCTATAGTTGATATGTAACAGATACATTACACTCCCCGGTCAAAAGTCTCCGACCACCTGATTTAAGATTACAGATCATTAACTTTTAAAATGAGATTACGCCA